GCCGAGGCGCCAGCCCGAGCTAGGGCAGGACGGGGGGCATGTTTGTGTCCCCATGGGCCAGGCCTGCAGCTGGGTTTATTTGAGGCAAGTGGCCCTTGCTCAGCCACAGGGAGCCCGACTTGGTAACGCTGCTACCCCCTGGCAAGAGCCGTGGCCCTCATTGAGCCCCACGCGCTCGGCATGGGGACATGCTGGTGACAATCTGCGCAGGGACGGCGCTGCGGGGTGCCAGGGGAGCCAGGTTTCCTAACGCAAGCTCAGCTGCGCCAGGGGTGATGGGGAGAGACCCTTCCAGCTGGAGCTGAGCCACGACACTCCCCCGCCCCAGAGACCCGCGAAGCTGTCAAGAGCCGTCAACAAAAGCCTTCGTCTCCCTCCACACCCTAGGGAGCCGCTGGAGATCTCGACATCGGAATAAAGGGACCGGGAGAATCCAGCTTTTTGTTTGTGGCCAGGCAGCCAAATCCGGCAAGCCCGAGCCAGCAAGCACCAGCAATCAAAGCAGCGGGCGACAGCCGACTCCGCAGAGGGGCACAGCCCAGCCCAGCCCTCCCCTCCTCTCTCCTTGGAGCTCAGCTGCTTTTCCCAAGCAGATTAGGAGCGTGTTCAAACGGCTGGGACCCCCGGAGGTCAGCGGCTCTGGCCTCGCGCACAAGAGGTTTGCTTGGGAACTTGCTGAGCTCCCCGCTCCTGGGCGGGCTGGGGATAAGCCCTGGTGTGCGGCCTTGGCCGCTGCCAGCTCCGCCGCGGTCCTGCCACCGCACGCGAAAATCGGCAGAACCTCCCACGTCCCCTCTCTTGTGCATTTACATCCTGCAATTGGGCTCTGAACCTAATAAGGACCAAGTGGTGACCACTGCTTTCGCCCCTGCCGCAGGGCTCTCTAGGCTGGATTCTCCAGGGTCTGACAGGAAAGGGGAGCTCCTCCTGCAGCCCTTCAACCCTAGCGCTGCTAGCGGGAACAGCCTGTGCATGGCGTGGCATGGCATGACGTGACGTGCCACGTCCCCTGCAGCAAGCGTGTTAGCCCAGCTCTCACCCTCCTAGCCCTAGTGTGAGCTAGCCCAGGCAGTTCAAACCTGGCACGCTGCCATCAAGTGCAGCTGTGTCCATGCAGCTTGGACAGCGCACAGGAGCCCTGCGCTCCAGGAGCTGCTGCGGGGCTGTACTCCGAAGGGCTCTTGCAAGCCTCTAGTAAAAATGATCTGCTTCCCGCCAGGAGATGGGCAGGATTCCCTGTTGTGCCCTCCGTGACCACGGAGCCTGCTCTTACAACAACCTCTGTGTATGGCCTGCGTAGCCACGAGGACACGGATGCTCTTACATCCCGAAGGAGCAAAGACAATCCCTAACCAATAGCCGCCAGCGCCTTCCGCACCCTGGAGTTTTACATTTCACCAAGAGTTTGCAAGATGCTAAATTAAGATCATCTAGAGAACAGACCATGACCTTTGCCAGATGGGGTGTCTTAGATATCGAAAATTATTCCAACTGCTCCCAAAAAGCACAGAGTTATCTGCCTTTATGTAATGCAGCTCTTCTAGCAACCCCGGAGGAAAGCACACAAGAAAAAGTCATGCAGGAAAGGCTGGGACTTTCCCATGAGTCTACGGGAATCAGCCTTTCCCTTCCACCCAGCCGTTGCCATCTGGGAATTTCAGCCCCATTAAGTTTGGATTTTTCAAGCGTGTCTCTGCATCCCAGCTAGGTGGGAAGCATCTGCCAGAGAGAGCTCAGCGAGGCGGGACGCCGCACGGCGCCTGTGCCAGGGGCAGAGGCAGATCCTGAAGGACACGAAGCAGCGGGTACCTGCAGGAGATACGCACATGACTCGGTCCAGACGAGGCTTCCAAATCTCACAGCCAGGAGAGCCGTGTGCTGGTGGCGGGTGCTCCAGGAGAGCGCGCTGCTTGCAGCAGCAGTGGTGGCAGATCGGCCTGGCATAATTCCACGACCTTGCCATATTTTCTAAGGCCTTATGCCAATGCCAGTATCTATTGGTTACCCTCCCTGCAATGAGAAGTTCATGCAATAGCATCTTTTCCTGCAGCAGGGTTGGTGCAAATAAGCCTTCCCATCTCCGCGTAGTCCTTGCCTTGTCTTTCTCATGCATACACAATTTCCACATGTTGTCCAGGCAGAAAAGCCATTTGCTAACTGAGCACAAGAAAGTAAGACACAGAATGATCATTTAATCTGGAACAAGTATTTGATTTGGTTGGTCAGGGCGGAAAAGGCTGAGTACATCCGCAAGGGCTGACAGGTGAGGATTTGCATGGGCAACTCCTGGCTCATCCCGAGCAATCCCGTTTGAACATCTCCACATCCAGCCTGTGCCAGGGTCAGGGACCAGCCGCTGCCGAACGAGATGCAGCAGGAGCAAAGGAGAGCATTGCTGGGAAGCAGGCGCAGGGCTGCACTTGTCAACTTTGCTCCCTTTGTTCATAAGGTAGAGCAGGATTTGGGCACTTGTTGACACTGAGGCGCATCCTAATTGCTGGTCCAAAACTTACAGTGTCACCGTGACATCCCGAATCCGCTCCTGGGTCAGCAGGGAGATCCTGCTCTACAATTTGGCAGTGGACAAGTTTATCACAACAAGGAAACACCTCTGCCCTCCTGCCCAATTTTAGGAGACACAAACCGGAGCAGACGCCCGAGGAAAGCCGTGGGCTCCTGGGAAGGAGCGGGTCACGCTCCCACGCGGGGCGCTCAGCCCGGGCTCCGCTCTGAGCACACGTGCAGGTGCCCTCCCCAGGCACGGGCGGCAGCGTGAAAACTGAAGAGATGGAGGAACCGAGGAGCACGCGTGCATATTGACACACTCACACGTACGGGTTTGTCCTTTCCAAGCAAGAGTAAAATGCGGTTATCCCAGGCTGGGCAAAAGACATCTCCGGGTTTCCACTGGACAAGGAAGGAGATCACGAGACACCACCTATAGTTTCCCAGTTGGTTCGTGGTTTGGTTGTTGCAACCGTCATTTCCAGTGCCAGCTGATCGTTTGATTTTGCCCATATTGTGGGCCAGGCTCCCACAAACCCCAAGTGCTGTTATTATTACTGGGAATTTGTGTCCACGTGAACAGCAGCTGCTGCTGTTCCCCGCTTGGCTGCGGGACCTGGCTCTCCATCTGGATCCACGCGTGGGGGCCGTTTCCCACCCTGGCAGGTATTCAGCACAGGAAGGACTGCTGTGCACATGGGGCACGGGAGCACCAGGGTGCAAGGTGGAAAGACAGGGCAAGGGCCGGGGCCTCCTGGGTGCTCGCGGGGGTCGTGGTGCTGCGGGAGCGCGGCGGTGCGGAGGTGGCAGGGGTTTGGCATGGGGGGAAGGCTGTGCAGTGAGTCCTGTGCAGCCCAGCGAGTGCCATGGAGCAC